CCATATCAGTAGAGTTCTTTGCAATACGGCCACCAATACAGAAGCCTACTTTACCATCATCTGAAAATATTTGGCTTAACAACTAGAAGATAAACTCATCTGTACGCCATCCTGCATTACCCTCCAGACTATCCAGTAAGAAGCTAGACATCAACATTAGGTTTGCAAGTGCTGCCTACCATCACACGGCATATGTGGCACAGATTACAGATCCTTGCATATTCAGATTTGACTTTATAAGCAAATACGATTTTGCCTTGGACTTTATAAAAATAATGAACTGCATTCTGCCTCCGAGGCTACAGCCCTATTCGGACTTAATAATGGAGGAGTTAATCTGTCCACAAAACCATAGCTCAAGATGATACCACAGTACTGGCAAGAACAAAATATCTCCTTTCTGGATCTATAGCCAAAAACAGAAATTTTCAGTCCCTGCAATGGCCCAAGGGCAACTTGCATAAAAATATTGAAATGCGTTCCCACAACGGGAAAAATGGATGAGAGTAAGAAAAAGGGGAGCGGTAATTCAGCAAGCATCCCAAAGATTGGAATTTCACAGTTAAAAATCCCCAGGGAAGGACGCTACCATCGTATTACGAAGAAAAATACATAATAAATATATAAATGTGAGAGAAAAAAATGTTTTTCAATACAAAATATATGTGAACATATTTTTAAAAACAAACAAGAATGAAAATGCAATAAATAAGTATCTATATAAACAAATCATATGTGAACAAAATAACTAGAAAAATCTAAGTTACAAAGTTATGGTCTCTCATTCTGTGCATTGTGGAAAAGAACTGTAACACCCCGAAATAGGTACTAGTAGCCCCAGCACTCGTCAACCTGTCGAGAACTGTTGTCCCAGTGAGATTTGCCAATGTAACTGATAAGGCAAGAGTTGTTAGGAAAGATGAAGTGGTTGTAGAATGTACTCCAGTGATCAGCATTAAATGGAACAGTAACTCTCCAGAATCCGCATCTTCAGAGAACATGACATTGGAGTTACTGTAGAATGTAAAATTAAGCGATGAACAGAGGAGTACTGCCGACCATGTCATTCAAGAATTTCAAGATATCTTCTGATGTGGGTCGAACCAATTTGACACAGCATAGAATTGATATCAGGGATCATCCACAAATCAAGCAACATCCAAGACGTCTACCAATTGCTGAATAGGAAGAGGTAAGAGCACTTTTAAAGGACATGCAAGAAAGCGAATTCATTGAGCCTTCAGTAAGTCCATGAGCATCTCCCATCGTCCTCATCAGAAAGAAAGATGGTTCAACCAGATTTTGTGTTGAGTATCTCCAGTTAAACGAAGTTGCGAAGAAATACAGCTGCCTTCTTCCTAGAATTGATGATATTCTTGGACACCGCTTGGATTATGTAATGCGTTAGCGACATTCAAATGCCTCATGGAGACTGTGCTGAGAGGTCTTTCATGTGATGCTTGTCTGATATACCTGGATGATCATCATCGTCGGGAAGAGTTTTGAAGAACATTTAGAAAATCTTAGAAAGGTATTTCAGAAAGTGAAGGAAGCCCGTCTAAAGTTGAGTCCCGCCAAATGCAAATTATTCAAACTAGAAATGACTTACTTTGGACGTGTCATCTCTGCCGAAAGTGTGAGTACGGATCCAGAAAAGGTGTCAGCAGTTGAAGGCTAGAGACACCCCGAAAATGTGCATCAGCTGAGAAGTTTCCTGGGTCTTTGCAACTACTATAGGAGATTTGTGAAGAATTTTTCATACATCGCAAGACCACTTCACAAGCTGACAGACAGCAAGCAAAAGTTTGTGTGGACAAAAAAATGTGAGCATATATTTAGCAACCTGAAGGAGGTTCTAACATCTGTTCCAATCCTAACACGTGTTTTGCTTGCCATAGTTAAGGCTATAGGACATTTCCATCATTATCTCTGCAGCAGAAAATTCCTGCTCCACATGGGATCATGCATCATTGACCTGTCTTTTAAATTTCAAGAATTTTGAAATCCAAATAGCCTGGTAGATACAGACTCCAGGAATATGACATGACTGTCTGTCATCAGAAGGGATCATCACATGTAAATGTCGATGTGCCCTGTCTAGAAGACCCTGCCCTAAAAAGCTGCTCATATTGTGTCAAGGTCAATGGGAAATACAAGCTGCTTAAACCGGTCGTATGAAATCAACATCGGCTGATTGAGACCTATGCAGTGACAAAGAAGTCAGGAAAGACCAGCTGCAGGACAGTGACATTAAACCTATAATTGACTTAATGGAGTTTTCAAACACAAAACCTACCTGACAGGACATTTCAATCGATAGTTCTACGGCAAAATAATACTGGGCTTTCTGGGACTCGCTCCATATTTGAAACAGTGTCTTATACCAGAAATTTGAATTGGACCACTTTGGGTACATCCAAGATGTTCAAAATGATACATGATTTTGCACAATAGCGAATTAGAGAAGACTTTGCAGAGAGTTCAAGAGTTCTATTGCAGTAACGCAAAGGATGACGTGCAAAAGTGGTGCCGATCTTGCGATGCCTGTGCTGGTCGGAAAGAACGAAGAAATGCAACCAAGGGAAGCTACAAAATTACAATGTAGGAATACCTTTTGGATGTATTGCCTTTGACATCCTGGGACATCTGCCACAAACTGCTGATGGCAACAAATACGTCCTTATTGTCACTGGTTACTTTACCAAGTGGCCTGAAGTGTATCATCCTATTCCCGATCAAGAGGCTATCACGGTAGCAGATGTAATGTTACAGCACTGGATTTCCAGATTCAGATTGCCTCTTCAGTTACATTCCTGTAAAAGAAGAAATTTTAGCTCAACTGTAATTAAAGAACTCTGCAAGCTACTTGTCGTCGACAAAACCCAATCGACACTTTTACATCCTCAGTCAGACGGTATGGTAAAGAGGTTTAATTGAACCATCCTTAATAACCTCTCCCTGATGGTTTCCAAAAACGAAAAGGACTAGGACAAGACACTACCACTATTCTTACTGACCTATTGCCAGTGCTGTCCATGAGACCACTGGCTTATTTCTCATCCCATATGCTCTTCAGTTGCGACCTTCGTCTGTCTAGTGATCTCTTGTTTGTTGTCCTTTGGATGCGCCTTCATTCCCTGAAGAGTACATCCAAGATGTCCAGCTATGGTTCAAAATTATACATGATTTTGCACAAGAGTGAGTTAACTTGGCAACAGAGAAGATGAAGACTCGATATGACACGAGAGCTACAGGACATCGATTGAAGGAAGGAGACAAGGTTTGTTTGAGGAATCCGATTTGATGGAAAGGACTCTCTCCTAAATAGTCACCTTGGGATGGTACTTACACAGGCTGAACAATGTTGTAGTTCTGATCCCTAAGTCATCAAATTCCAAGCCTAAAGTCGTTCATTATAACAGGCTAGCTCCTTACCATAGTCAATATAGTGATATGTTCTATGGGAAATAAAAAGCCATTTTGGTAATATTTAATAACAGACATTTGCAAGTAAAGGTGAAAAGCATAAGTGTTAGAAAACAAACGTGAGCCACTACACTATAGGCATATTCTATTATCAATAATTTGGCTCTACAAACAGCTTTTTGCTTGGCATATGTCGCAAACTGAAACACTACCAAAGTTCTCTGCCAAATTTACACCTACCAAATAACTTATAACCCTGATGCCAAACTGGGAAATAATTTTTCATTATTTTAAGCTTTCATCACCAAGTATTAACTCATGACATATTTCATCAGTGAGTATTAACTTATGACAGTTTAGAAATATCTTGAGCAGCAATACCTAAGATTTTTTTTTTTAAATACTAGTAACTGTATACCAAACAGCATTGTAATCTTTTATGTTGATATTAGAATTGGTATATTGGATATTGATGTTATTCATCTGTGATCACAGTGCACCAAAATCATTAATTAACTAACAGATGGCGGAATCTAGTATGGTTCTAAATTCAGAAAATATCGCTACTGATAGTGGAAAAAGTAGAGAGGTTTACGAGAATGAAAAGATTTCAACTGACGATTTAGTGGGAATTTTCGAGAGGGCAGTTGGAGGACTGGCAATTGAATAAAGAATAATATCTATCTGTAAAAATAAAGAGAAAGTGACAATGCAACTTAAATAATTTACATTTAGAGAAATGTTTAATATAATAAACATTTCTCTAAATGTAAATTATTTTAAGTTTCGATGGTTCGCTAAAACCATTGAAACTAGTCCTGTGAAAATTTGCAGATGTAACACTGATTTTTTTTGTTTTGTTTGAATCCTAAATTAATACTTGTTCAGCGGGTTATTTTATCTTAAGCAAATAAATATCGAAGTTTATTTATTTATTGTAAACTTTCATTCTTTTAAAGTCATAAATGCATCATTATTTTGTAAACAACTATTCATACTTTTAATTTGATAATTTCTACATGCTATCTTACTAAATGTAAACTGATGACCTAAAATTTGGGATTGCAGACGAGTCCGGATCTCGGACTTTGTACTGTATTTGATAATTTGTCTTTACCTGATTTTGGTGACTAATTTTTCCTTCTAACTTAAAAAGATAGGATTGATTGTGAAAGGAGTTCTAACTTTAAATTTTGCTCATTTTCTTATTTTGCTAAGTCAATTAATTTCCCAATAAATACACTAGAAGAATGGTAAATTAATTAATATTTGGGTAAAGCCATGCTGATAATTACCTTGAATGAAGTGAATCTTTAAATTTAACTTAGAATTATATGTATGTAGAGAGGAATGTTTGACACTGTATAATATGAATTTTTTATTGTAATTTTTGAGAGTTTTAATTTGTTTCATTGTGCTTTATTTTTTAATTTATTCGTTCTGACTGGGAATAAATATTTAATGTAATGTTTCATCAGAAAAAGAGCACTATTTCCTTTTAATTTAAAAATTTTAAAACCTGTTTTATATTTTGGCAGCATCTGTTTCTATTGATATTATAAATTTTATTATTTTTAGCTTGTTATCAATGCCTGTACCTCTTTATGCATATGAAAATGAGCCTGCCCATGTTGAATTCTGTGAACGGGAGTCTGATGAAGATGATGAATATGAAAATGTTGAGTTTTTTTTATTGAAGAAGATATGGATACAAATGCTGATGAGTATGTTCTTTCCGCAGTACATTAATGTTGGCATATTCTTTATTGTATTGCCTCACCAGTGGCCCACACTACTGAATACTGACAGTTTGATCCAGTTTGGGTCAAAACTCATGGGGACAGGCTGATAAATACAAGCCAGCTTGTCTCAAATTGTCCTCCACCTCTTAGGCAGACAGCCCTTGTAGCTTTCCCATATTCAAATAACCTAACCTACCTTTATCATATTATTTAATAATGTGTTACTGCAGTTGGTTTATGTTTTAAAGTTTACAAAATATATTGTTTAAGCATCATTTAATGCATACGGTACAAGCTTAGCATAAAGAACATAACTCATATTTTTAAAACATTGTAGTAGATGATGAAATCAGGCTTGTGTAGGCGCAAACATTCAAAACCAAAACATTTTATCTCCCCAGAATTCGGTCAAAAAAATGGCATTTTTTTGTTCATTTTGCATTTTTAAGTAAAGATATGTGCATTTATTACAATTTTCTTTAATGAAAATAATCAACTTTTCCCTGCAAGTTGTTTTTTTTCCCTTACGTGAATGCAAAGCAACAGGAAAGTTACATTTACAATTAAAATAGTACAATTACTTAACAGATATTTTCGATTGCAATTCAATTACATTTACTATTATGTTTTGATACAAAACATACCCTTCTTTTTTTAAAGATCTGATTTAATGTGATATATCTTAAAGCAAGGCGACAGGCACAGTCCAACATCACAGTCTGGGCAAAAATACATTGTCTCTTTTCGAATTCTTTTGCTGTTGTCATTTTTTTCAATGAACACACATAACACTGTCTTGCAGGTCTTAGTTTTTTTCTCTGTAGGTGGAATAACCTCTAAAAAATGTCTTTCTGTTAGTCTTAGTGGAGTTGGTAAATATCCAGGACGGCCTTTTCTTTCTTCTACTGCTTCATGCCTTTCAATAAGTCAATCGATAATTTCCAATCGAAACTGTAAATTCGTATCTTTACCACCGTGCTTTTTATACAAAACATAAGCGTTCCATAAACAGATGTCTAGAAGATAAACAAATATTTTTTTGTAGTATTTCTTTCCTCATTTCTTTATTACAGGATGATTACTTAGGTTCTGGTCCATTCGATCTACACCACCCATTGTGTTATTATACTCCATAACTACTGTAGGTTTTTGTTTAATTTCATTCATCGAAGTGGATACTTGAACCATTTCCGGATTATGTATTGTAGATATGAGAGACACTGCTTTTTTTTGTCCATCCATTTCATGATGCACGCTTTTCCCCTCTGGTAATCAAGCATTTGCCCCTTTTTGTCAACAATGCTTTAGGAACTTCCTTTCTTTGAAGTTTTAATGTTCCGTACATATCTGTACAGTAACTAATGAGGATATTTGCTATTTCAGGAGATGAATAAAAGTTTCAGTTGTCAAACAGTATCCTTTATCTAAAAGTGGTTGCATAAGTGTAAATAACTACCTACGAAGATTTTCTCAAATGTTTGTAACTTTCATCAAACACAGTTCCTTTTCCGGTGTATATTATCATAGACCATACATATCCAGACTTCGACTCACAAAGCATGTACAATTTTATTCTGGAGCGTGATCGCTTTAGAGGAATATACTGTTTCCAACTTAGCCTTCCTTTGAACAACATAAGACTCACGTCTATGGTAACATCACGTTCAGGGATGATCATTTCTTCAAAACGAGTTTTTAAATGCTCTAGCATAGGCATATTTTTGCTATTTTTGCATAGGCATATCAACAATGCTTTAGGAACTTCCTTTCTTTGAAGTTTTAATGTTCCGTACATATCTGTACAGTAACTAATGAGGATATTGCTATTTCAGGAGATGAATAAAAGTTTCAGTTGTCAAACAGTAATCCTTTATCTAAAAGTGGTTGCATAAGTGTAAATAACTACCTACGAAGATTTTCTCAAATGTTTGTAACTTTCATCAAACACAGTTCCTTTTTCCGGTGTATATTTATCATAGACCATACAATATCCAGACTTCGACTCACAAAGCATGTACAATTTTATTCCGGAGCGTGATCGCTTTAGAGGAATATACTGTTTCCAACTTAGCCTTCCTTTGAACAACATAAGACTCACGTCTATGGTAACATCACGTTCAGGGATGATCATTTCTTCAAAACGAGTTTTTAAATGCTCTAGCATAGGCATATTTTTGCTAATTTTGGACACTCATGAGAATTTATGTCAAAATTGACATTATCCAAAAAATTCAAATGACTGTAAATTAATTGAAAGCGATGATATGACATCACTTTTGGAAAAAATGGCATGGATGTTGAATGCCTCTTGCTCTAATACTGCTCAACAACTGGCTTTTTTACGATACCTTACAGAATATTCAAAGCAAAAAATACATGTAATTCATCTTTCGATGTTGGTGTCCATTTTTTGCTCCTGGAATGTCTACGAAGTGTAATGTTTTTTTTTATGCATAGCTAAGCATATCTATTTGTTTCAAAAACAATCAGGTCAAGCAAATAATGGTCTATGAAAGCATCATAGTACTGAAGTTTACCTTTAGTCTCATCGATATCCAAGTTAATTTTTGGAATTCCAGTGAAAACAAATCTAGGAGGTGGATCCGAAGGATTATCACAACTAATTTCCAAAAATTGTCTTGCTTGACTGATTCCATCTGTACTACTATCAGAGTCACTACTATCCAGGTCATCTAGTAAACTTTCGCTACTATCATTTACAGATAATTCAGTTTCTGATTCCGAGTCACAGTTTGAATCACAAGAAATTAGCTCCATACACTCTGAATTATCCATTATTTAAAAGTAAAAATATATTAATCAACTCTTACATCAATAAAATTATCAGGGGGTTAGTAAAATATAACCAGAAAGCTATACACTGAAAGATAATATTCATCTTCTGATACAAAACCTGCGCTTTTGAACCGATCAGACTGCAAACTATCATTTACTGGACAATGGTTACTCAGAAACAGTGCAAGCGAAATAGAAATCAGATTGCCCGTACACCGAACGGTCAAATCAGTAAAGGCCCAAAAGCGTACGGGCAAAACAGGGAAGGGGTTAAGTGATAGGGTAGTCTTCAAAATGTTTTGGTTCTGCACTTTATATAATGTAGGACATAATGGCTGTACAAGCTGGATCCATTAAGATCACTTCTGTAATTGTAAATGTAAGCAGGATCATTTAGTTTGAAATATTTGTATCTTCATTTTTCATAAGTGACTGGCAGAGTCAGGATCAGTAATCCTTAAGAGTGTGTTAAGTATGTAAATGATGATGCTTATCTTGTCTTAACCATAAATTAGAACTATCTTTTGGTCCACATCTTGACACAATAAGTCTGATATAATTCTTTTCAGTCTATATGTTGGTTAATGATGTTTTCAAACTTGTTTTTCTTAACAGTATTTAATTTAGCATACAAATTCTTGACTTGAACTTTTTAATACTTTTTTGAGGGATCTTGGGATTTAAATGGTTGTCCTGTTCCCCATGAATAATTCAGAACTCAAATCCGCTATTATGATGATGTGACTGAGTTTTGGTCTAAAGTTAATTTTATGCTTCTTAAGATGTGACAAAAATTGCTACAGAAAATTCCAAGTTTGAGTGTCAAGTGACTACATGAGTAAGCAAAAGTGATTGATAAACATGTATGATTGTGTTGATGTCATGATTAATATATGTTACTGGCTGCAGCAGTTGTGCTGATAGAGTAGAATTGGTTTGTCACAGTTAAATCATTATGCTGACATCGCACTGTGCGAGTGTTATTGGACTCTAGTACTGTACCTGTTGAAGCCATTGAGCACATGTGTTTGGTTTTTGTGTGTATTTTTATTCTAAAACTATGCAGTAAGCATACTTAAGTCATTTTGGGAGGAAAGAAAAAAAAAAGTTCTTCCAAAGTACAGATAAAGTGGAGAAAGGCAACTTCAAAATTTTCAGAAAATCGTGTATTGTCTTCTGTGTGCAATTTTGACTTTTCAGTTACTCGTGCAAGCCATGATGACTGAAGGTGACATATGGAGTCTAATTTAACATAAAGACTGCATTAAAAATAAAATCTACTTCAAAAGCAGTGCCCTCATTTTTCTATAAAAAATTATGGCAATTTTGTTACAAATGCAGGGTTTTCATTCTCATCATTTCTGGTGAAGCACAGTATTTCAGTTTCATGTGCTGACAATGCAGCTAAGTGCTTTTTGTCATTTCTGGTGGAGCACAATATTCCATTTTCATGTCCTAAACATGATCTGTGTTTCGATCAGTGTTTGCCAATTCTGTCATAGGGAAAAAAATTACATGCAGAAGGAGTAAAGCAACTGCTCTGGTTAAGTGCATAGTAGATTGTACAAGAAAGGAAGCTGAGCATCATTGCAAAACAAATGGCTTGCATTGTATGGATGGAGTTCAGATTACAATATAGGTTACGGTATGAACAGCATAAAGGGAATTAGTTGTAGCTTTCAGTAGAGAAATTCAGTCTTCTATACTTCTGTAAGGTTTTTTTCGTTTTTTTTTCCCTATTTCCTTCACATAGCTGCTCAAAATGTCTAAAAATAGCCTTAAATGTTAAATAGCTTTTAATTCATTTGTACACTATAAAAAGTGACGCATCAATGTGGTATTATATGAATGGGGCGCAATTGTATATGCCCATACCTTATGATAACTTTTGGCAGCTAATGACTGACTAGTTGGAGCTCCAGCTCATTACTACAGAGCATCCGGATGGTGTATAAAATAACAGGGCATTCTAATGATAAGGCATAATTTCCATGCCAGTCTGTTCTGTCAACCCACATGGACTGTACCAATGCTTTGCAGATGGCTTCTCAAGCATTATGAGCAAATGTCACCATTTGAGAGAGGACCTGCAGTTGTATTAACAACAGCAAGATGGTCAAATAGCAGGGGTTGCTAGGAAATTGGGTCAGAGCGATGTTACCATTTTTGATGATGTTGTTAGGAAC